ATTATTATTATTATTATTATTATTATTATTATTATTATTATTATTATTATGAAGTGGTTAGGAATATTTGTACTTCCCCCCTGGATGGAATGCTAGTTTATCGCAGGGTTACCCCAGCATTACATTCACCAGTACCCATATAAACCTAAGTGAAGAAAGGCAGTGTGACGATAAAGTGTCTTGCCCAAGAACACAACACAATGTTCTTGGCCAGGGCTCAAACCTGGACTGCTTGAGCCAGAATGGAGCACACTAACCACAAGGCTACTGCGCCTCTCTAACCAACTTACTTCCCCCTTGGGTGGGATGCTAGTCCATTGCAGGGTTACTCTCAGCATTAAATTTGCCGGTACCCATTTAAAGGTACACCTAAGTGGAGAGAGACACTGAGAGTTAAGTGTCTTGGCCAAGAACACAACACAATGTCTCCTTCGGGGCTCGAACCTGGACTAGTATTGCTCGATCCGGAGTCCAGTGTACTTATAACCATGAGGCCACCAAGCCACTCAGAGGATAATATGAAATTTTATTCATGATGTCATAATTTATTTTATTTTTGATTATGTTTTTCAGAATTACTAGGGGATAGCACTTCAGTCCAGGACTTTGTCAGCTGGAAATGAATAGTGTACAATTCATCTTTACCCTTGCCGTTGTTCCCCTGGTGTTGAGTCAATATAAACCAACGTGGGAATCACTGGACTCACGACCTCTCCCCTCTTGGTATGATGAGGCTAAGTTTGGTATTTTTATGCATTGGGGATTGTACTCAGTACCAAGCTTTGAAACCGAATGGTTTTGGTACCGCTGGAAGCATCAACAGAGAGTAGACTTTGTGGAATTCATGAAGGAAAACTATCCACCAGGCTTTGAGTATGCAGACTTTGCTCCAATGTTCAGGGCGGAGTTCTTTGACCCTGATGCATGGGCTGACCTTTTGACAAAGTCTGGTGCAAAGTGAGTTTTAAAAAGGATTTACACTATAACAGTAGTCAGCTCTGATGAAGTGAGTGAGCTCTTTTTTTGTCTCTTATACTGGTAGGGTTAATGAACTGGTCAGTGGTTGGTTTTATTTTATGTGGTGGTTTTGCCCCTTTAGAAAAGACTGAGCTGTCAGCACTCAAGCTTCATTTTCTACCCAAAAGTAGTTGTCTACATTGTAATGATTCATAAGGCTAGTGAAGCTCAATAACCCCTAGAGCTGCAATGTGCAGTTCAACCTTGCTGAATTGTCAAAGGGTAGAGTTCAAACAAAGATTGACCTCCCCCCTGCCCTCCAGAAAGTAGTTTAAACATAGGGCTAATCACCCCATGCATCCTGTAAAGAGCGGCTGATCACGTTAACCTCAAGACCCTATTTCCCAGTTAGGGAATTGGAATGCATGTCATGATGATGACAGAAATTTCCAATATTGAGACAGCAATATCTATAGATGTCTTTATGGCAGGAATTATGTTTTCTTTGGGAGGTAAATAATTGACTCACAAAACTTAAAATTTTGAAGTCCAGTGCTGATCTTTGTAAACAGACATTTCTCACAATTTCACTCTTTAACTTGAATTTTATTGAGACATTTGAATTATCTTTTAGATATTATGTCCTGACCAGTAAACATCATGAAGGGTGGACAAATTGGAGATCAAATGTATCATGGAACTGGAACTCTGTTGACAATGGACCTCACAGGGATCTTGTGGGTAAGGACAGTTATTTAACATTTTACTGTGATTATTTACCAGTATGTAACATTTGTACTAGATAAGATTTATCTTCCCTAATACTTAAAACTCTGTTCATTAAATGGTGTGATTGTCAAATACAGCATGTACAGTGCTATCTAATTAATGTTCACACCAGTCGTTATCTTACTAAATTTTACCAGAATTTGCATGAAAGGGAAAATGGGTACCAATCCAAAGAATCCAAGGAGCCAGAATTGACTTATAATTATAATGTTAACTGGAGGTTATGTTGGTCAATGCTATAGACTGAGATATTGGCCGATACTCGGTTGATACATCAGCCAAGTATCGACCTTGTATTGACCAAGTGTTGACCAATACATGGCCAATATCAATGGAATTCTAGTCCATTGCAGGTTCCCCCGGGTTCCCGATATTGTTTGTCCTTATTAATAACAATTTGTTGGTACCTAGACACTGAAGGATAAACTGATTAATAAAAGAGTGGTTGTAATAACCCATCAAAGTATAACTGAGACGTCCATCCAAAAGTGGTGTTTTGCTGTAACCAATATGTGCTGTAATTTTCAGGGGAGCTAGCAACTGCCATAAGAAGTAAAACCAACATCACTTTTGGATTGTATCATTCCCTCTTTGAATGGTTCCATCCCCTGTATTTGAAGGATCGTAAAAATCACTTTGAAACACAGGACTATGTCAAGGTACGCCAAAAGTGTTAAGATATTGAATTGTTATATATATTGTGATGACAGTCATGTAATTTTCCACACTTTTCTCTTTTCCATTCAAGTACCACATGAATTAATATTGAGCAGCAGAGGGTGAAGTTTCCAAGCACATTGTTGCTGACTTGTGCATGTAAAATCCCACTAAACTGGCATGACTCATAGACGAAAACATTCAAGGCTTTAAAATCTAAATAAATTTATTAATTAATACCAAACTAAGATAGATTGATTACTGTGTCTTAATTAGCTACTGTTAAGACGTGATACTTGATTTGGACATCAGACTGGAGTATACTCTGCAGTTTGCAGTTTCTTGGATTATAATTTCAAACAACTGTGTTTAAAAATAATTATTGTCATCCAAAATGACACTTCAGCTGATATGGCAGTGGTGATACAGTATCGATACTGAGTCAGGGTATTTGTGGTTATCAAAGGAACATACCAAGCATTATATCAAAGTGGCCAGTTCCTGGGAAATGAATATTCACCTAATAGATCCTTGTTGATAATGTCACCCTTAAGATCATGTTTGGTTGTTCATTGAGCGCTAAGATTTACTGACCACCTGGTTAAAATAAGTGCCATTCATGGTTTGCCTGCTGATGAATTATATATGATGAGTTTGAGAGTAAAGATACAGCGTTTCTCTCTTGTCATAGTTAAAGAATTTAATACATATTTCATGTTAGGAAGTTCTCATGCCAGAGCTGCATGACCTGATCAACACATATAAGCCTGATTACTTGTGGTCAGATGGTGCACATGGACCTGACACATACTTTGAAAGCAAGGAGTTCCTTGCATGGCTTTATAATGAAAGGTAAATGTAAGACTGGTGATAGGATAAAACTGAAATGCCAATGTTACAATACCCTGAGCTACTTTAATTTTGAAGTTGATGACAGTGCACTAGCTTTTTCCCAGACAAGAGGAAATATTTGTGCCACAGTAATTTGAAAGTGTTTCTGTTTTGTTTCAATGAATAACAGTACTAGTGATGTTCTGATTCCTCTCTCACTGATGTTTTCCTGCCTTCTGTTAAGCCCTGTTAAAGACACCATTGTGACAAATGATCGTTGGTGTAGCAGTGGATGTCGTTGTCATCATGGTGGAGTGTACACTTGCAAGGATCGTTACAATCCAGGTGAGTCATAGTGATGTGAGTTTTGGACATGCACCCAACAAGAGGTGATTGACGTTTTGTTGACTTTTTTGACCCATATTCTATAATACAGCTGCATGTATAGCTAGCATACTGTGAGGATATGGATAGTTTCTGAAAACACTCAGGTTTCTAGTTAATCTTGACACTTTAGTTAAACCATTTATAACTTAATCAAAAACAAACATTTCAATTTTTTGTTGTGTTCATTCCCTCCATGCTTTCACCAAGTAAAATAAAAGGCAAATTTCTGTATATCTAACATCATTCAGCTCAGTTAGTTGAATGACAATAGGCCATTTCCAAATTACCTTTAGCCTCTTTCTCAAAGCGAGTCTTGGTGCCCATCCTTTCATATAAAAATGAGATTTCATTCACATGCGAATTAAACTCATTTTCATATGAATGGTTACCAGGCCTCACTTTGATAGAGAGGCTAAGGTCAACTCAGAAATATATAATTAAATGGGCTATTACATTTAATTGGGACCATTTGCTGTAATTGTTACGATTAGAAATGTTGTCTTCAGTTTTATTGGAAGAACTGAGTGTGAGAGATTAGTGAGACTGATGTCACACTTGGGAAGTAAGCATGGGTGACCTTTCAAAATATTCTGAGGAAAGCCAAAGATTTTCCATGGTGTCTTCCTGACTAAAATTTAATGGTCTTAATTGTCATGCTACCACTGTGGGACATCAAGAGACAGCTCTAGACAGACTTGATACTTTTAATTATCCATTCCTACATGTAGGAAAGCCAAATATTTTCCATGGTGTCTTCCTGAGTTAATGGGTTTAATTTTCATGCTTCAGCTGTGGCTCATCAAGAGACAGCTATGGACAGACTTGATACTGTTAACTGTCCAATATATTATTATCACTTACATGTATCAATCTTAAATGTAGTTCGATTAAGGTTATTTTGGTGGGAGATGTTGTAGCCTAATGATTAGTGTGTTAGTCTCTGGATTAAGTGGTCTGGGTTTCAGCTGTGGCTATGGTTGCAGCACTTTTTTGTGGGCAGGTGCTCTCAGTGCCTCTCTCTACCCAGCTGTATTGAACAATTATTCCACGAGCACACATTGGATATGAGCTGGTAAATAGCCAACGAGGTGTGTAGTACTGAGTTGGCTATAATCATCTCATATCCAACAAGCGTGAGTGGAATAATATTATTGTTTTATTAAAACAAAAGAAAAACAAAAATATAGGAAACTACACTGAAATAAAAATAAAAACGCCTCAAAAATTCATGCATATGCTTACCATATTGATTTTGTAGAGCATGGTGTAATGGCTCATAACCCATGATGGCTAAGCCAATGAAAACTCAAATTGCATTATTGAATGACCCAGTTTTTAATAGAAAATAATATGTATACAGCCATGAACACGAGGAAGACCTAATTGCTTATCTGTTGTTGTTTTACCAAAGGCAAACTTCAGAGTCACAAATGGGAGAATGCAATGACAGTGGACAGGGGTTCATGGGGTTACAGACGTAATGTGGACATAAGCTCGTATTTGACCATCACTGAATTGTTAGATCAACTGGCTTCTACTGTAAGGTGATCTTCATCAGATTTCTCAATAACATTATTTATTAAGCCTAGGCGAGGTGAGAATGAAAACTGACAATAGAAAGCATGTCAATGGATATTAAAAGTAAAGAAAAACTTTCCCTCTGAAGTGCAATGTGGGTGTGATCATGGGTTAATTTGGCAAATAGCTGACAGTGAGAAAGCCAATCAGAATCCTAGATTCACAGCAGGCCATAATGGCTCCAAATAGCCAACTTTTGGTTTCTTTCCAGCTGGGATTTGTAACACATGATGCTTAATATTGGTCAGGAGTTCTTAAAATGTTGCTCAATACTCTATTACTTTTTTTGTTAGTTGTGGTGGTAATATGTTGTTGAATGTTGGTCCGACGGCAGACGGCCGCATAATACCTGCATTTGAGGAGCGTCTGCTGGAGATGGGAGAGTGGCTGTCTGTGAATGGTGAAGCTATTTACCACACCAAACCATGGAGAGTTCAGAATGACACTGACGAGAAAGTTGTCTGGTAGGTTGAAAGGAGTACAGTTCAGTTTATTTTGACAGCATAGGAGTTTAAATTCATTTTCAATATTTTTAAACCTTAATTCTCCTTTTTATTGAAATGTTTTGTTGTCCAAAGGGGCACTCACCCTTTAGAATAGTGTTTATGTTTCACATGGTTAAGGGGATCAAGTGAGGTCTTAAGAGCAGCTTCGCCTAAATATCAACTAGACTTGGAAATAGCGAAAAAATCGAATTTCTTCAAACTCGCCCAGAATGAAGCCCTACGGGCACTA